TGACAATAGTGTCTTTACAAAGAAGGGGAGAGGAGGGGAATGGTGGTTTGACAATAAGACATTTTCAAGAAACATAAGATGGGTAAAGCTAATAGCTTAGGTACATACAAAATGTTAACAAGTAAATAGGCGCGTTCCCCAATGTTTCATAGGGGGATCATAACATAGGAGTGTAGAGTTATACAGGATGGTTAGGGGGGAAAAAAGGGGGAGGATGGGTCAGGGAGGTCAGAGGGTGAGAGGGGAGGGGTGAGAAGGGGTAAGTGACTCCACAGTTAGCAGCAGTAAATGGAGGAGTATGTGAGATTGGTAGGAAATGGTACCAGAGTAGTATGGAGTATTTATCACGGGTTAAGAAGTGAGTCGTCAAAGAGGAAACACTCTACCCAGTGGTTCCAAACATTCCGGAATTTAGGGATAGTTTCTAGAATTGTGGCTTTCACTTTAGTGTGAATCATGGCCTGGGTAACTTTATTTTTAAACTACTGCAATGCTTAGGGAAGGAGATTTCCACGACTTAGCTATGACCTGCTTGGCTGCCGTAGTAACTTGTAGAATAAGTTTGAATTGTGAGTTAGTTACACCAGGGGGGCGTAGATTGAGTAACGCAGTAACCAGGTTCCTTTTTCCATTTTTTTAGGCCAAAACATGATGGAACAAAGGTAGTTTGATGTAAATGGACACAAGTCTGTTTACATCCAGCAGCCCATAGATCCAACTTGTCAAAATGTGAACAAAAAAAAAACTGAATGGGCACAGATGTCACATAAGTGACATACATCCTGTTCTGCTCTGATTCAACAATGCGCCTGTTCCTCCCAGTACACCAGAGACCGATCATTCAACATGGCTGCTGTTGTGAACGAGCCCTTAAATAGGGGGGAAGTCTCATCTCCTGAGTGTCCAGTCATTCTACCAAATATATTGACTGCAGCAAGTGCATGGTGGAGCAATATCGATCAGGCTCCCTAAAGCGTGACTGAATTTTAATTTTATAAATGACACAATGACTTTTACTGCTAACTTTTTTTTGAGACCTTTTTTTAAGCTTAAAATGAGCAGCTTATCATATTCCCGATGCTTGCAGAATGACCCAAAGCCCATTCAGCAATGTACTTCCGGTCCCCATAATACCTGTACAAGAAATAGGGGATGTGGTTGTACCTGGAACAGGACAGCAATAGGTGTCTCCTATAACATCCTGTCCTGGCAGAAAGAGAGGGGAAATCTCCCTAACAGGGACACAGATGAAAGTAAAAACATGCAATACATCAAACCACCACATAAATCTCCTATAATCCATCTAAAGGGATGGTTGCTTGGTTAAATGGTGACACTGTGCAAATCCAAACATAGAAAAAAAGCCAGCACTCCAATTGAAATTCCAAGATGGCTGTTTACTGAAGTCCCATATCAGTAGAAACACTAAAACAAAAGATTGGTGTTTCTACTGACATGGGACTTCAGTAAACAGTCATCTGTGAAGTTCAGTTGGAGTGCTGGCCTTTTTCTATGTTTTCTTGGAAAAAAAACTCTTAACCGTTCTATACATACCAAATATTTGGCTAGAGTTGGGTTTTAAGATCATTCCTACATCAACATTTCCAAGGAACGTTTTCTGCTCAAGGAATGTATATATTAAATTTTTGAAAAATAAATTAAATACACTAATTGCTGCAGCAGATAAGCTGCCAGGTGAAAAGCTGTTCTCCACAATGTGTCCTCCTGCAGAGCCCAGACCAGTCCCTGGAGTTCCCCACAGGCACACCCCTTGCATTGCAAACCAAAATACAGTTTTCAGGTGGAGGTGCGCTTTAAGAGACAACTCCAACTTTACGACCATGTTTCATGTTACATCCGATTACCATGAACACCTCCCCACCCCCAAACAATTACTACCCTCCCTCCTTTTGGCACCCCAAATCATTTTGCAGGGTTTTTGTGAATGGAAACACTATCAACCATCATAGCAGAGGGACTGTAAAACCTACTGAAGCACATGTTCATTGATGTCACTGGCACTGCATTGATACTTCCTCCACTTCTGTATCTTCAGGTTCATAGTTTGGAATGTACCAGGAGCTAGTGGAACCATCTGCAGGAGCCACAACATTGCACCCAAAATCCACTGATACACTGTTCAACAAATTTTTATTTTTTGCCAGTTTTGGAAACAAAAGGATCCATTTCTTAATGAATTTCACAGTTTTTCAAATATAACAATGAAATTTCAAGTTAGGCTTTGGGCTCAATTGGCTCTAGTTTTTCTGTAAACGGAAAGTTTTCTACTATAGGCGTAATGACTACATAATGCACAATAATTATATAGATAGATGTCTTTCCACAAATATAAAGCAAGTGATATTGACTACATAACAAAGCCTAAATGGCATAATATATTGCATAGGATTACCAAGAAAAATTATAGCCATAAGCTAAGTTGAATCATTTTAATACTTAGGATTCTCACTAGTTTTGTCTTCAGTTTGTGTCGGTTTTGCTTCTCTTGGCTTTTCTCTCTTGTATTCGAGGAAAGGGCTATCTCTTACAACTGTCCAGCAATAGTCAGAAAGCATTGATGGGGTCCATTTACCTTGATATCTTCTTTCCATAGCTGCAATGTCTTGATGGAAGCGCTCTCCGTGTTCATCACTCACCGCACCCACAGTTTGGTGAGAAAAAATCCAGATGCGAACGTAGAAAATGAATTTTTAGAGACATGTTGCAACCCAGATTTCTGTAAGTCTGGATGAGTTTTTCTACCACTTTCTTGTAGTCTGTGTTTTTATTATGTTTCCAAAGAAAATTTGATGTCACTGATACAAATGCTGTCCAGGCAGCCTTTTCCTTTCCACGCAACAGAGAAAGAAACTCATCATCATGAATAAGTTTACGAATCTGTGGCACAACAAAGACTCCTTCATTTATTTTTCCAGCACTAAGTGCTGGAAATTTGCTAATCAGGTACTTGAAACCTGCTTTATTCTTGTCCATTGCCTTAACAAAGTTTTTCATTAATCCCAACTTGATGTGTAATGGAGGTAATAAGATCTTATTGCTGTCTACAAGTGCTGGATAGTTAACATTTTTTTTCTCCAGGCTGCAATGACTAGCGTAATGGCCAGTCTCTTTTGGCATAGTGCATTTCTCTCGCACGACTGTCCCACTCACAGAGGAAGCAGCAGTAACTTAGTATATCCACCTTGAATTCCAAGTAGGATAGCAATCACCTTCAGGTCACCACAAATCGACCATTGATGTTCATCATAGTTGATGCACCTTAAAACCTCTTTCAAGTTTTCATACGTTTCTTTCATTGAAACTGCGTAAGCAACTGGAACTGACAGTAGCTGATTGCCATTATGGAGCAAAACAGCTTTAAAAACTCGCCTTTGAAGCATCAATGAACAGCCTTCACTCATCGGGATCATAGCATACGCCGATGGCTGAGATTAAAACCATTTGTTACATACAGCAATATCACCTTCCTATGAACATCACTTTTTCCACTGTTGTAGTCTTTCTGCCTTGTTCTTCGGAAGATCCAGGTCTCTGATAAGATCGCTCAATTCCACTTGTGTAATGAAGTGGGTGTGGATGGAAGAAAGTCTGGGTCATGTGTGAGGTTGACGGTTGATGACTACACGCTTCAGGTTCTTCTCCTCACTTGACTCAACCACAAAGGATTCTGGTGCTTTAGGAATTGTTAGCCCTCTCAACTGAGGACTGGACGTATTGACTATATTTGATAGTGCAAATTGCGCCTCTTTTTCACTTACTTATTTAGCCCCTGTTAAGGCACCATACAAAAGTAACAATTACTAACATGATCTGTTGGCTCTCTCCAAATCATTGGCACAGCGAAAGGCATAGATGCCTTTTTTCCATTCAACCATTGCTCCAGTGCCGTCCCACAAGAATTAATATATGTGGTGCCCAGCTCTTGTCCTGGTCTCCTATCTTGCAGCCAAAATACAAGTTGTAGGCTTTTAATCATTCCTGTTATCCTCCTTTTTTGTGAGATAAAAGTTATTTCACCGCAGATATAGCAGAAATTATCTGCTTTATTCACACAAGTTCGAGGCATTACTGAGTAGCCTATATAAGCATAAAACGAAATGCAGGGATACTGCAGCTTTTATGCAGTGAAGTGATGCAATTAAAGGCTAATATTGCATCATCGCAGTATATACATGCAATTTTCTATTGGTCACCAGTATCAATTGCGCAATATGCAGCTGAAGTTGCATCATAATTTTGAATGGCTTACGTTGAATATTATATCAGGAAACTAGAGCCAATCAACATTTTTTTAGGGTCATTTTCGTTTTCAGCACCCCAAAATCATAAGATTAGCTAATTTTATGCCCAAAACTTTTTACCTGGGTGAACAGTGTTATGGGCACAGTGTTTTGCAGCCTCAAATTAAAAAAAAAAATGAAATAAATGGCATTTGCATTTATTTTATTTAATTTTTAAAAAGGTGGAATTCTCCTTTAAGGTTAGACATAAGATGACTCCGTTTATCAACTAAAGCAACATTCTAAAGGGACCAGTTGAGGCTTCTCATGGGAAATTAAATGGGTCATTGTTTGGGGACAATGATACAAATACTGTTGGATCATGACTGTAGGTCTGACCGTACTGTAGTGTCTATAGCCAGCTTTAATTGTAACACGATTTAAATGTGAATATTGAGATTAACTGAAACAAAAAAACACGAGGTCTTTGTCAGACTTGATTACCTTTACTGTTAATGACTCACAGCCTAACACATCCACTACATACATTGGCCAACAATTATTCAACATGTTTTGGTGACAGAACGCTCTGAGGTTTCACAAGAGTGTTCTAGGGTCGCGGGTCTCTGGAGTGACTGTGTTGCACAAGAGTTTATTTTATAATGCCTTTATCGGGGGGAGTCATTTCTTGGAAACTGTGTTTAATGTGAAATCAAAATAACAGAAATACACAAAGGGAAACAATGGTCAATTATAGAGCTAATGAGAAACAGATGCACACTGCTGAATGCTTAGTCTACAGTACTCTGGCTGTCTTAGTTCATAGAACTCTTGTCCACAGCCTCTGAGGGGCTCCCTCTCATCTTCCAGATAATTGTCTTTTGTTTTAGGGAAATAGGTGGCAGAACATTTCCTCTGGTAAGGTCTGTCCATAGATTTTAGATGGATCAGCATGTGGAGAGCATAGGCGAGGACTAGTAGGAGGATAAGTGACATGACTAGTCCCATAAGAATAGCTGGAGAAAAGTAAGTTGTACAGTCTTTGGCATAGGAAAACACTCCTTCTTCAATGTTAAATCCTTGTATCTGCAATACAAAATAGGCATCACACTCACATATTAATACATGCACTGGTCACCTGCAAAAACAAATGATCTTAGAATAAAGTTCTGTTTTGGTGTGCCTGTTGCTGTGTATCCAGTATGTGCAAAATCTAAGTTTTTGTTCATTTGTACGGTTATTTCTTCTGTACAGGTCACACCTGACAAGCTGCAACTGCGACTAGACAGGGTTGCATACATGGAACAGCTAGGACAACATCTGTAGTTTTCTTAACAGACCCTAAATTTGTCAGTCTCCCCTATGCTTTCCTACAGCAATCCAATCCAGCTTTCCAGTTCACTGACACTATAGCTGCTCTAGGCCCCTCCACCTTTTAGTGAAGGGGCTGCCCCATCTAAAAGCTCCTTTATTGGTCCTTCCACTGCTACTGACCATAGTTCAAAGGCTATGCAGTGCATTATGGAAAATCTGCACAAACAATTTGCCAGTACCACAAATGCTGATGCTGCAGAATTTGCCGCAAATCTGAACCTTACTACAAGGAAGAAGCTGACAGAAGCAGGGAGCAGAGTAAGGGCTCATGTACACTGCAGCTGATAAACTCACGTTTACGATCTGTTCAGTGTTTTTTTCAGCAGCCCCTGAACTCACCCTAATGTTTTCCTATGTGTCCATGTACAGTATGTCGTTTACAGGCAGTTGAGTTTTACAGTCATTTTTTTGAATGCAGAATACTTGCGTTCAGAGTAGATTTTATCAGCATTTCAAACGCTTGTAAACGCATGTAAACGTGGCTAAATGCGGCTAACCGCATTTATAAGCGTTTGAAAATGTTTTTTTTAACTCTTCCATTTCCAGATGCTGTTCAGAGCCTTTTTTCATCATGAAAAATGCATGCAAAGTGTTTTTTTCCCCGGTACTCAAATGGACCTGGTACACCATACTTTGAGGTTTCGCATGAAAGAAAATATGTTAGACACTGCTTCAATAATGTCTGCACAGAAATGAGCTGGAACACATCCAAACACCACAAAAAAAAAGAAAGCTAATCTCAACAAATACTGCTCTCTCTGCTCCTGCTCTCTCTATTTCTCTCAAAATGTCTGAAATAGTTAATTTTTTACTGTTGTTCAGTACCCATACTTAAAGTGATTGCAAATCTTTATTTTCTTTTTTAATTAAAATAATAAACATGTCATACTTACCTGCTCCGTGCAATATTTTGCACAGAGGAGCCCTGATCTTCCTCTTTTCGGGTACCCTGCTGGCACTCCTCCTCTTCAGCCAGTGGCTCTATAGGCAAATACAGCGGGGCTAGGCCCTGCCCCCTCCCTTAACGCAGAGTTTGATTGTCAGCAGCAAGAGCCAATGGCTCCCATTTTGTAAGGAGGGAGAGAGCAGAGAGAGCCGCTGGTTTTGGACACAGCACTGGATCGCAATGGGGCTCAGGTGAGTATAAGGGGAGGGCTGGGGAGAACCAAGTCACAGAAGGTTTTTTACCTTAATGCAGAGAATGCATTCAAGTAAAAAACGTTACGGCTTTACAACCACTGCAGAAATACCGGATCTGTCAGGACTGTTCCCACAGCATCAATCATCCACACAGAAAAAAGCACTGCTGCTCACGAGATGCGTTGGGGTGCCATTAATCCTAATGGCACTCCCACACACTGGAAATCGCACCACGACTTCCCGCACTGGGAAACACATTGCACTTGCGGTTTCCATGCGGGCAACATTTTCAAATGTGCAGGGTCAGGAGGCACAGCAGTCTATTCAAATTAATAGGCTGCCGTATCTGTGCAAATGCAGTTCGCAGAGTCGCACAAGTGTGAACATAGAGCAAGTGGTTTTATTTATTTTACATTCTCTTTTTGATATTGCAGCAAAGCTTTGTTGGGTGATTACTGTCAGTACCATCAGCAGTTACCATCTGGGGGTCGATATGCTCAGTTCCAGCATCTTTACTTTGACCAAAGTTCCCAGCAGCCTGTAGAAATCTATTCTATTAACCACTCCTCATACAGAGTTTATTTTTGATAGTACATATTGTTGCTCATTTCTCTTTTTACGTTTCTTATAGAGTTTGCCCATTTTAGTTTTTACCGCATCATTTTCATGCAGCTGTAGAGAACACCTTTCCATCAGCCAATCTGAACTCTGCTGCATAAGGGACTGCAAACGATTTAGGTCAAGACAGATTCCAGACAAATTCAACACTAGTACACTTAAAAGTCCATGTAAATCCAAAATGTATTTTCCAATATTTTTGCCAGCATACAGTGCTTTGAAAAAGTATTCATACCCCTTGAAATTTTCCACATTTTGCCACGTTGCAACCAAAAACATAAATGTATTTTATTAGGATTGTATGTGATAGACCAACACAAAGTTGCACATAATTGTGAAGTAGAAGGAAAATGGTAAATGGTTTTCAAATGTTTTACAAATAAATATCTGAAAAGTGTGGAGTGCATTTGTATTCAGCCCCTTTAGTCCTCATGCACACAGCTGCTGTTTTTGCTTTTGAGGTTTCTTTTCTACAGCCAGTAAACCCCCCCCAGCATGCTATTCTATGTGTTCATGCACATCAACGTTTTTTTTGGCAGGGGGGTGTTTTTTGGCTGGAAAAGTTTTTCTATCTATAAAAACGAAACGCTCTAATGCTGCAAAACGCAGTAAACTGCCGTAAATCGTGGCAAACCAGTGTTTTTGGACTTTTTTTGTAAAAAAAAAGTGAAAGAATGCAGATGCGCCACTAAACGCTAATGCAAAAATGCTAAAAAAAATGCTGAAAAGAGAAGCAAACAAGAGGCCCATGGTATCTGGAGGAGCTGCAGAGATCCACAGCTCAGATGGCAGAATCTATCAACAGGATAACTACTAGTCATACACTCCACAAATCTGGCCTTTATGGAAAAGTGGCAAGAAGAAAGCCATTGTTGAAAGAAAGCCATAGAACTTCCATTTGCAGTTTGTGAGAAGCCATGTGAGGGACACAGCAAACATGTGGAAGAAGGTGCTCTCGTCAGAGGAGACCAAAATTGAACTTTTGTGGCATAAAATCAAAATGCTACGTGTGGCGGAAAACTAAACATTGCGCATCACCCTAAACACACCATCCCCACTGTGAAACATGGTGGTGGCTGCATCATGTTATGGGGATGCTTTTCTTCAGCAGGCAATCTTAGAAGAAAACCTGTTAAGTCTGCAAAAGACCCTTCCTCTTCCAGCAGGACAACCCTAAACATACAGCCAGAGATACAATGGAATGGTTCAGATCAAAGCATATTCATGTGTTAGAATGACCAGTCAAAGTCCAGACCCACTGTAAATCCAATTGAGAATCTGTGGCAAGGCTTGAAAATTGCTGTTCACAGACACTCTCCATCCAATCTGACAGAGCTTGAGTTTCAGTATGTTAAAAAAGAAGAAAGGGCAAAAAGTTCACACTAGATGTGCAAAGCTGGTAGAGACATACCCAAAAAGACTTGCAGCTGTAATTGCAGCAAAAGGTGTTTCTACAAAGTATTGACTCAGGGGGGCTGAATACAAATGCACACTTTTCAGATATTTATTTGTAAAAAAAATTTTGAAAACCGTTTATTATTTTCCTTCCACTTCACAATTATCTGCCACTTTGTGTTGATCTATCACATAAAATCCCAATAAAATACATTTATGTTTTTGGTTGTAACATGAGAAAATATAGAACATTTCAAGGGGTATGAATACTTTTGCAAGGCACTGTATATCTGTGTATACAGTTTTCATAAGCAAATATTTTTTTTTTGTAAATCTGTTGCAAAGTTTTTGCCTGAAGGTCCTGCCAGTAACAATACTTCTGGTTTAAAGCTGACAAAGCTAATGCAGGCCATAGACGGGTCGTTTATCGGCCACATTCTTGTCCGCACGAAAAAAAATTGGCCTATATTCACGCCATTAGTGGGGCCAGCCTGTCGTCCGTTTTTAACATGGATCTTCACATTTATTTTTATCGGTCATGATGGAAAATCCACGAAAAACAGATGTTTTTCGTGGACATTGGTGGCAGCATCAGCAATGGGGCTGACCGATTTTTTGTTTATCGGCCGAAAATTCGGCCGATAAACGGCCCGTCTATGGCCTGCCTAAGCCACTGTCTTGAAATTAGCAGTAGTGTTGTTAGTCTGCTGTATAGGTGGCTTTTGTGCTGCCTATCAGGTCTTAGTTGATGTGCAGACCTGATAGGCCTCTAAATGGCCAGCTGAAGGACAAAGTAGGCTGACAACACTGCTGCCCATTGTTGTTAATGGCAGGATCTCTGGTTAATAAACTTTGCAACAGATTCACAAAAATGATTTGCTTAAGAAGACTTTATACAGTGAAGCATGATGCCACACATACTGAAAAAAGAGATTCAAGGTTTACACACACATTACTCCATTACTACAGAAAAGAAGCAGGTAAGGATCTTCAATAAATGCTGCTAAAATTCTTGCAATGTAAATAGCTAAACTGGAGGGAGCTGAACTTTTAAACCCTTTGACTGGAATCACTTTGGTCACAAAGGTACAAAATATTCAAGATCATGATGGCGTTAAGGTTCCCACAGGCACAGTGGATTCCAATCACTTGTGCTGGCTGTAAATGACTGCATGTCTGTGGACACTCACTGACCTCTCCAGACATTACCTGGCCAACTATTACTTGTGGGCAGAATCAATCAGCTAGATTTTCTCCGCTTTCTCTTAAATTAATGGATGTCTTTCTGCTTTCATTCTCTGTTCTTCAAACCAAAAGCTTGACCACCAAGAACATCAAATTTATGTGTTTTCTGAAAATATTTTAGTGGTCAGACTGAACCTGAACGTCTGACCGCAGTCTGATATCTGTAAATAGTCATACATTCTGAGAAGATTACCCTCCAGCTGTTCAATTTCCAATTCAGGATACAAAATGATGCCTACTATGAGTTTAATTGCTACAGGCAAGGTCCTATTGAGTCATGTCTGTAATGTTGTAAACTTCTACTCATATGTCCCATTGTACATTACAAGGGAAAGGAGGTTTCAGATTGGCAATCATGAACGGTCATGTCATTGCCTGAACAATACTACAGCAGCATTTAAGGTATTAAAAGACTTGAAAGCTGCAGCAGAAACATCAGCTACTTGTAACATCATCAATCTGAAACCCCAAGGCTTTTAGCTTGTACAAGAAAGTACATAATACCCTAAGCTACTCTTTACCTCTATTCTCATTCTTAATACGCTGGTGCAATGGTAGAAATAAATCTGTAAAGCTCAAAGTCTTTTATTACCTGAAAATCCAGGAAGGTGACATCCCAGAGTGCCGAGCTGTTGTCTGAGCTGGGAAATAACAGAGAATCATATTTCTGTAGGCTGCTCACATGCTGACAGTGGTAAGAATAGCTGATTTGGAGCAAATATTTTGGTACTGTTGAACGTTGCTTGCACACTATGGTTGAAGAGGATCTGAATGCATTGCAATTGATACCAATTTTGGACTGAAAGTTTGTAGTAGCTTTTCACCAATAAAAGCCTTGACAGATAAAAATAGAAAACAAAATGATTGAATAGGGAGATCAAACAAAATATTAAAAGGTACCATACTATATTTGACAAATCTGTCTTTAGAAAGACACAAACCATCTGCCAAAATGCCTGTTTTCTACAAACACAGGTATAGTCAATCATTCTTTAAATCAAAGTGTATTTATTGGCTATCAGGAATCAGGTCAAGTGTTCGAATACTAGTCAGAACCCACCTGAACTATCCCACCAGGTAGGTGCCACTGTGGTTCGCCAATCATAATTGGCCAAGACATTCCCTGCCCAGCAACACACCTCTTGTATATGTATAGCAGCGAGGCAGTGAATGCCACTGCCCATTATGTTTGCCAGTCCGCAGTGCCAGCTTCCTGGCAGGAAAGCTCAGGTGGGTTTGGACTAGTGTTTAAACACACCTAGCTCATCCCTATTGGCTATGAGCAGTAATACAACTATTTGCAATGGTGCATGAAACCAATGAATTACTGAATTAATGCTTCAAACCTGATTTTTCTGTCCAATAATTCTGACATTTTTTGGGAATATACTAGTAGGACCGGTGCTACCAATAGGCAAACTAGGCAGCCTCCTAGGGTGCACTGCAGCCTAGGGCGCAGCCACGTTTGCTGGTCTTGGCCCTCAGCCTCTGCCCTACGGTGACTACACCTTCTTTACACAGAACATGGTTAGCTCCGCCTGATGATGTGTGACAATGTTCCAAAGGTACCATGAGCTAATGTCCATCTCTGGCGCTGATAATGCTGCTGAGGGGCAGGACCATAGCATGTTCCAGGGACCCACCATATGCCATGATCCACTGCATCCCCTCCGGTCGAAAGTTTACCAATCACCCCCCCCCCCCCCCCGAGCTTCCATGGTTCTATTCAGCCGTGATGACCCTCCCATCCTACGCTGGACCTTGTGCTAACAAACCGGGCAGGAAACAGAAGCTCCTGCCACCTCCCCCACTGCCACACAGCCTATCCCCTGTGGTCCCCAACACGATCCTCGCCACCTCTGGCCTCACCATGCCCCTTCTATTGGCGGCGGTAGTCTCCAGGCCGGAGTCCCAGCAACAGCACAGCTGACGTCTCTGTTTGAGTGTCCCATCTGCTTCGAATATGTGCTGCCCCCCATCCTGCAGTGCCAGGCCAGACACCTTTTCTGCAACCACTGTCACCAGAAGCTGAGCTGCTGCCCAATGTGTCTGGCTTCCCTCACCCCCAGCATCTGAAACCTGGCCATGGAGAAGGTGGCCTCAACTGTCCTCTTCCCATGTAAGGTAAGTGCCTGCACTGCCAGATCACCATGAATGCCCAGCAGCTGCAGCCATTTCCTTTAGCCCCTGGCAGGCTGGATGGAGAACTTGCAGGCTGTGTAGTTGGAGATCAGTGTATTCTAGGACTCCATATACCTGATGGATAATAAGACAGGCAGTAATTATATGGGTTCCCATCACTCCTATGATGTGGTCAGTCTCAGAGGTTATACCTGGTCTTGCCTAGGGCGCCAAATAGTCTAGTACCAGCCCTGTTACCAGAACTATTGTTCATAGCTAACAAGCTGCAGGTATCAGGCAGATGATGTTGAAAGGTACTAAATGATAATTTGCAGGATCTACACCCCTTTTATCTCTTACTGCATTAGTTAAAACCCATAAAAAAATCATGCATTCATAAAATAAAATATAGGTTAGCAAATGCAACTTGTATTAGGCAAATGCAGCTTGTATAAGGCAGAAGAATGGTTGGTCACAATAGATAAAGACTGTCTGGCCATAGACATTCCTGCTGAACCAGCCGAGTTTTGAACCATGTATGGGCAGATGGAATGTACTCAAGTATTCAATTTGTCAACTTGGGTACAACCAACCTGATTTTGCATGCGATTATCCCGAGCGGCTGTTATAGCTGTTAGCAATAATCATTGTATTCTCCCATTGGGGACAACAGCCCATGGTTGCAGGACAGAAATTCTCTCCGTGTATGGCCTGCCTAACTCACATAAAAAACAAACATTGTGTAACTATTCTGTCATCTTATACAGTTGTGTTCAAAATAATAGCAGTCAGACATCACTAACCTGATCAATCACTGTTTTTGGTAGAAATGATAATTCTAATCGGCAAATAATTTACTAGCAGGTGCAGTAGAGTAATAGAAATCCAACAGACCCAACAGTCATGACATACATGCTGCTGATTCTGTGTAATTGAATCACTAATTGAAAGGGGCATGTTCAAAATAATAGCAGTGTGGAGTTCTATTAGTGAGGTCATTCATTCTTTGAAAAACAGGTGGCAATTATTGCCCTTATTTAAAGAAGGAAGGCAGCAAATGTTGCGCATGCTGGTTACAGTGCATTTCTCTCTGAAATTCTGAGGAAAATGGGGTCGTTCCAGACATTGTTCAGAATAACAGCGTACCTTGATTAAAAAGTTTATTGGAGAGGGGAAAAACATATAAAGAAGTGCAGAAAATGATAGGCTGCTCAGCTAAAATGATTGGAAATGCTTTAAAATGGCAACCAAAACCTGAAAGACGTGGAAGAAAGCAAAAAAACTACCATTCGAATGGATAGAAGAATAGCCAAAATGGCAAGAAGACGCCTATGTGAAGCCAAGCTATCTGCAAGAAGCCCCCGCAAAGTCCCACTGTTGAAAAAAAGACATGTGCTGAAGAGGTTACAATTTGCCAAAGAGCACATTGACTGGCCTAAAGAGAAATGGCGCAACATTTTGTGGACTGATGAAAGTAAGATTGGTCTTTTTGGGTCTAGTGGCCGGAGACAGTTTGTCAGACAACCCCCAAACACTGAATTCAAGCCACAGTACACTGTGAAGACAGTGAAGCATGGTTGCGCAAGCATCATGATATGGGGATGTTTCTCATACTACGGTGTTGGGCCTATTTATCGCATACCAGGGATCATGGATCAGTTTTAATACATCAGAATACTTGAAGAGGTCATGCTGCCTTATGCTGAAGAGGAAATGCCCTTGAAATGGGAGTTCCAACAAGACAACGACCCCAAATACACCAGTAAACGTGCAACATCTTGGTTCCAGACCAACAAGATTGACGTTATGGAGTGGCCAGCCCAATCCCCGGATCTTAATCCAATAGAAAACTTGTTCGGTGACATCAAAAATGCAGTTTCTGAGGCAAAACATAGAAATAGAGAAGAACTGTGGAATGTAGTCCAATCATTCTGGGCTGGAATACCTGTTCACAGGTGCCAGAAGTTGGTTGACTCCATGCAACACAGATGTACAGCAGTTCTCAGAAACAGTGCTTATACAACTAAATATTAAGTGTTCAAAGGAACGCAAAATCTTCAAACATTTTTCAGTTTATATAGTGAATATATAGTGAATGTTTGAGTTTGTAAAGAAGAAAACAAACACTGCTATTTTTTTGAACAGTCTAATATTCACTTTTCTTCAATTTTTTTAGAGGAAGAACACAAATTTGATATATTTTTCTTCATGTTTTGATTTGGAATAGAATGCATAGTGTTCCCAATGCATTTGTGTGTATGGAAATAAAAGCTATTAGAAGGATTTTGAGCTTTATTCACTTTTTTCAACACACTGCTATTATTTTGAGCACAACTGTATGTGCTACTGAACATCAGTAGTCCTGTGTCCAATATTCCATGGCACTGGAGGGTATCCCATCTGCTTTATATGCAGAACTGATATTTAACTATACTTGTCCTCAAACCTGTCTGCAGTCATCCCCTCCTTGATACCTTCAATTTTCATGCTAGGACAACCCACTAGTGTGTAGCAAGAGACAGATAAACAGATAATGTTTGAATTTTTGGACTGCAATAAAAAATATATAAATTCACCTTTTTTTTAGGGTAAAGTGAACATTCACCCAAACTATATACATATTTTGATTACAAAATTAAATATTTCTTATGCTATAGTGGAGCTCACATGGTACAGTTGGGATAAACGTGTATAGGTAATACTATCCCAAACCTAAATCAATATCAGAGTAGAAACAGAAATGGCATAAAGGAGAGTAGCAAAAATATACTCTTTAATCACACACACAAACAGTTTTTGGAGCAAACAATTCCAATGTGTGGGTAAAAAAAGAAGCACAACATTGTCATACTCAAGCAGCCACATAATCAGATGCATTCATCATGGAGACAAAAAGCAGCAATGTGGGAATACAATATACCCCTAAATATTAACATAAGCTATCGGTAAACACTAGTGAATGCAATAAAATACTAGTGAACCAGCAGTAAAATCACTTTAGAACAAGCCATCACTCACCTCTGTAGCTATAGGAATTTTGGATAAAATTGTCTGAAGTTTCACAACAGAAGCACTGAAGCTCCATTCCCCTTGTTTTTCTGCCAGCCTTCTAATGTAAACAAACACCAGGAGCACAAAAGCTGTCAGAAATTGATTGAAACCAGACTTTAGAGCAGCATTCTCAAAAGGAGTGATATCTGCATTCTTCAGGGGTGCCTAAAAATTGCCCCAATACAGGCAGACAGGTGGATCATGCCTACATTTTGTACACAGAGCCAAACCCTATGCTGGGCCACCTGTGTCCTACTAACCGATGATGTCAATGGTTGTTAAGGAGCATGTCTGGAGACTACAAAGTGTCGTTGGTTGCCACTTCCCTGATTCTTTCCATTAGTGCTGGGGCCACATTAGCTGTGTGATGGAGAGAAACAGAGGGAGAAAGACTGTATAAGGGCTTCCTCTCATGAGCACTGCAAAACAGCATTAAAGCTGTCCAGAAGTGTGACTTAGGACTATGGACCAGGAGCTGCACACAGAAGGTTTTTTTACCTTCATAAATAGAATGCATAAAGGTAAAAAAAAAAAACCTTGCACCTTTAGAACCACTTTAACAGCTCATAGGACAGCAATCTAAATACCAGCAGACTAAAAGCAATAGTTATTGGAGTAGGTTAACTGATCATTCACACATTGTAACTTCTGCCATACATTTT